GTTTTCAGGACCCCCATGACATTCTGCAGAACACTCCTGCTGCCATAGTATTTGCCTTCTCTTTCTCTTCAGCCCTCTTCCTGTGAGGGATCCTGGTGGAGGGAGTGAGACAACAGGAGCTTAGGCTGAGAGTCGGGCTCAGCTCTGTTACTTGGGTACAGCTTTGTGCCAGTCACACTGCCACTGCCGCACCAGGCCAGTGGCTGAATCAGTAAAATGAACACACCGTCTTTTCCATCTGTCACTACTGTTTGTGTAATTTTCTGGTTGCACCAAGTTGTGTGTTTCCTAGGCCCCCAACCCTTGGCAAACTGACGTGCATATCGTCTTACAGTGCCTGCAGTTCCCCTTGAATACCAGCAGTGTGTCTGGGGTGCCACGTCCTTGTGTGGGGGGAGGTCAAGGGCTGGGAGCCAAGGAAAGAACAACTGCTCCTTCAGAGGTTGGCCACAAGGGGAGGAGCCAGAGGACTCAGGCATCTGGAATCCTATTTACATTTACAACACCAGAGGCCAGGAGCATGTAAAAAAATTAATGGCTTTGGGCCTCAGTCCCAAAACTACAAAACAGAACAAAAAAATGCCATTTGCCTGGAACTGAGCTTTCAACTCTGGAACTATTCTAGAATCCTTCATTTATTTATATTCCTTTAATAGTAAAAATGAAAAAAAAATCTGTTGTGGAATTTTCTTTTTCTTGAGGGATGAGAAAGAAGCAGGAAAAACCTTTTTATGTTTATTTTAATAGAAAAAACAGGAAAGATCATGGAATTTTCCCTCACAAGGTCATCTGTATCTAACAAGAAAACTACCAAGTGGACACATATTTGTGGCATGAATCGTCTCCTAGTATTTTCCATGTCTTTGCCTCATAAATAATGGAAAGCCATTAGCATTCACCCTTATTAGGCTCCAGCAGCTGTTTGCAACTTGATCATTTTTCTGTTAGAGCTTTGAGGGGCGGTACCTTTGCACTCCAGCGTGGGCTCCTCGCCATCATACCAACCACGGTACCTGAAAGGGGAGCTGGTCATGTGTTCTCTCCCTATTTATATAATAATTAAAAGTACTCTCCCTGTAAGAGGAACCTTGGAATAAGAACAGTTTCACAGCTGTTCCCATAGATGAAGTGTTCCCACAGATGATGGTTGAAGTTCCAAAATGTACTTCAGATTCTCCATGTTTCCCAAGGCAGGTGATGCATGGTCCAAAGTCAGGATGAACCATGGTGCATTTGTCATTGTGGCCTTGGAGGATGCTGCCTGGTTGACAGCCTCGGGTGTGGTTGAGTCCTGCCTTTATTTTCCAGAGAAACTGGACTTTGGCCCCATGGCAAAAGAGTCACTGACAAGGTGCTTGGTGAGGAGGAACTACAGTGGACAGGGGCCTTGGTGATGCCAGGAAGAGTAAGTCTCAGCCAGTGATGCTTGGGGAACATTTGCTGGGCATCTCTGCACTCAGGTTCCTGCTGGCGTTATAGCTACAAGGAACACTCAAACATTCCTGGGGATATAGGCTATGGGGAAAGCACATCTACCTACCTGCTTCCCATGGTATGGTGAGTGGATTGGGTACGTGGGGTGGGATTGAGTGTGGCACTTCTGGTGGCAGCAACCACATATGCTCAGCCTGCTTTCAAGAAGGGTGGGTCTGATTCACTCGGGATTAAGACCTACAGTATTGGGGAAAGAGTTGATTTTCTCAAGACTGTAGAGGAGACAAAGCTTAATTTTGTCACTCGAGGCCAAGGAAAGATATAGGACAAACTGGGTGAGGATGGACTTGGGTCTGCAGGTTAAGAAGTGCTCCACATGATCTTGCTGGATACACAATCAGCTCAGCTGTGAGAGTGAGAAAATTTATGATGCTAATCTGAAATAGCTTCTGTACCATCCATCAGGTGTTTTTTTTGTTTGTTTGTTTTGCCTAAGTATGAAATAGCAGACACTTTGTGCTTCAGGCTTTTGTTTACATGTACATCAAGTACAGCTTGGAAAATAGTAAGAGACAAGGGTCACCTGGATAGGACCACCTTCTGTAGAGGATTCCAGGTGGCATCCAGTGTACAGCAGGGCTCAGCCTCTCTTCCTCACACCTCTGCACCAAACCCACACTGTGGTTAGAACAATTGCAGATGACTGGCCTCACATCACATTGAAGAAGATCTTTGTAATTTTTCAGATTCCAGTGCTGAAAAGACACAATAGGCTGTATGAGAAGTATCTTAGGCCAAGCCTGTGTGATAGGAGGGTCAGCATGGTTGGGAGGGTGGGAGAAAGGTACTAGGGAAGGAGATGGGGTCAAAGGCATAGTGGGAAGGACAGATTGTATATGACCATGTGGATCATGTGGAGTGTGGTATGGGCTTTGGCTTTTATTCAGATGGGAACTTATTGGAGGGTTTGGGTGGAGGAGAAACATGAGGTGACTTGGCATTTGTAAGGAACACCCTGTAGATGTGGGAAGAGTAAAGCAGGGGTCAAAGGTGGAAGCATGGATCCCATGTAGGAGGCTTTTGCAGTAGCTCCAGCAGGAGAGGAAGGTAGCTTGAACCAGAGTGGTGGTGGCAGAAGTAGTGAGACATGGTCAGGTTGTGGAGCAGTCTTTGTAAATAGGGAGGGATGGAGGGGTTGAAGGGAGGGCAGGGGAAGGGGGAAAAATAAGAACCAAGAGAGATTATATAAAGGTGCAAATTTCCAATGATGAATGTCATTATATTGTACACCTAAAATGTACCAATAAAATTAATTAAAAAAAATAAAGGAAGGAGAAAAAGTGCCAAGAGTTTTGGTATTTTGGAAAACTGGTATTTGGGAAACTGGAAGGAATCAGGTTTATGTAGGTGTTCACAAAGTCACTTTCAGCCATGCTAATGATTGAAATGAGATTCAGGAAGTATGGGTGATAGTTTCTGCCTGGGCTCTGTTGCTCTAACACCTTGGGCACTAATGTCCTCTCTAATGTGAAAGGCACCTTGCTTTCTGTATGCTCTGTGGCCTTGATGGCTACACGTGAGGAGCCAACTGGAAAGCATTAACATTTTGACAGCATTTACTATCAGCTCTAACTGGACAAAGTATAGCTCTGTGATGGAAGAAATTGCTCATAGGAGCTCAAAAGGACCAGGAAGGGCAGAGACCGTCCTTACCTTGTCTCCCTACTTCTGAGCCAACTGGAGAGCTTACATGGTCATGAAAACGAAGGATTCTTAGTGGACTGTGGTATTCCCCTAGCTTTAAATCATTAAGGGAGAGGTACCTGAACTGAGACCATACCTGCTTCCCTTGATAACCCTGGTCTAAACCAGGGAATTAGTGCATTTTGAGCAGCCACTGGGTACAAGGACCCTTGGCCTCCTCGAACTAGGACATTGCTTGGTTATTTCCATGATACAGCAAAATTGCAGCTATCTTTACTTTAAAGATCCTTAAAGGGGTATGACTAAGTCATTTTTTTTTTTCTGCTGAAGAAACAATTTCAGAGCCTTTCAGCCTGCACTTGAGCAGACACTTATATATTTGATGTCAGTGAAATATACTTTAAATAGCTCTTCACAAATCTGACGATATTCTGGATATTGGATGTATTCCACTTTTGAAGCAAAACTCCAGACTTTCCCCCCTCTGAATGGGCCCAGTCTCATTAGTTACTTTTGTGGTTAGCTTTTAGTAAGCACACCTTCAGTTCCCGTCTTAATGAGATTTCTCCAGTGACTGCTACTTTAATTTAAAAGGCTTCTCATGAGTGTCAGTGTAGAAATGTGATGTTGGTGCCTTGCTCTGAATCCTGAAATCCTCATGCTCTTGGTTTCAGGGCTTCCTGTCCAGAAGCACTGGGTCTACCCTCAGGCTCCTTGAGTGGTTTTGCCCATAGGCTCAGTGAGAGAAAGCGCCTGGAAATTTGCTCTCATCTCCTTCCAAGCACTCAGCCCTGGCAGCAGCAGCTTCAGTAGTAGGAAAGCCTGGTGCCTCTGCCTCGTTGTGGGACAACTGTGAGGGGAAACTGACATCCAGAGTCCCAGCTGGTTGTGGGGGGCCGGCGGAACGGGATGTGCCAGACATAGTACCCTGGCTTGCCTTTCTCCACCTCCCTCACTGTTTTCCTTGCTCTCCTGCTGGTCTCTATGAAGAGTATGTCTTTAGTCATTAATTTGTGCACACAAATCTTCATCTTGGGAATAGTTTCTGGGGAAACTGACCTAAGAAAATACTTTATCACTGTTTTCCAAACTGAGCACCAAAGTAACCCAGGGCTGTGGAGAATGCTCAGGGGTGCCATGGAATATTTTAAATTTCCAAAAGAAAAAAATCAGTGTGTTCAACATGTATCAGGTATATCACAAAGTACTCCAGGTAGTTTATGATTTCAACATTAGATTGCACATACTACTTTGATGATGGCATATCTTTCTGAAGCTGGGTTTGTGGTGGCTGTTACAATAAAAGGCAAGCACCCCATGCAAGTCAGGCAGAAGAGGAAATGAAAGTGGTGGAGGCTAATCTGATTCCAGGGGTTAGAAGTTCTTTAGTACGTACCAGTACACATGCCCTGTTAATACATAAATGTGGTTATTTAAAGATAGAAATTAAAAATTTTTTTCTTAATGTATGTGTATTATTTTTTCAAGTGGACATTAAGATGTTAGGGCTTCAATTCTTGCTGAGTTGTACCTAACAAATCACTGGAATTTTTAGCTATTTACTTTGATTTAGGGGGTGCCATGAGATGATTGAGTCACCCAAATAAGTCTGGAGGCTTCTCTTTCCTATTGGTAAATGTGGTTTGTATGTGTACTGCCTTAATGTGGGGCAAATGTGCAAGTACCGAATAACAATACCAGTTATGGATTAAAGTTGAAATAAACTGAGTGCTTATCTTATTCCTTTATGTGTCCTTATCTTATTCCTTTATGTGTCCTTCATACTCCCTCAAAGACATACATTGTTTATGAACTGTCACACTGGCCTTTAAACATCATGTTCTCTTTTGTTTTACTTTCAGGGAGTGGGTTAATCGAGCCCCGTCTATTCATTTTCTGAGAGTGTTAATTTGTCTGAGGCTACTAATGAGGGATCCATGTTATCAGGTTGGTTGGAAAATTTTTTTTACTTGTTTTGAAGATGCAATAAAAAAACTGGTGGGCTTTTCTTTGAAGTAAGCCATGTTAACTTTTCTTTGTCTCTCTCGTAACTCAGTAGCTTCCAGATTTGGGGAGTATCTCACCTGCTATTTAAAAAAATTGGAAGAATTGATTTAATGCATGCAATAAATTATGTATACTTTTATTGCATAGTTTATGAGGTTAAATAGATTGAACTTGGTCTGTGTTTTCATTGCTACCTGGCATTTTAAACCATTAACAACTCAAGGAGGTTTATACTTGGCCTCACCTTTCGGGCATGTCCAAGTCCAGACAGCTCACAGAGTCGAAGTCAGCAGAGGCAAGTAGGGGCCTCCCCGTGTGGCTTCAGAGGCAAGCACCTGTGAAAAGCAGGGCTACTGACTTAGTGGCTGTCCTAGAGTCCATCCCCTTCTGACCTCCAGCCTGCAGCTCTTAGCTAGAGATGAGCAGGGGACTCCTTCCCATTTATCTCAGAAGAGGGAACTAAGGTCCAGAATGTCTTCCTTTTCTCACTATTTAGCTAAATATGCTGCCTGTAGTTTAGTGCCTCTCAGACTTCCATGTGCACAAGAATCACCTGTGGATCTTGTAAATGCGGATTCTGACTCAATAGGTGTAAACTGAAGCCCAAAGTTCTTCATTCCTAACAAACTTCCAGGAGATGCTGATTTTTTCCAGATGGCTGTGGCTCACACTTTGAGTTGCAAAGACTTATCCCTTAAGTTGTAAGGCTCAGAAACCTAACACTTCACCTGACCAGAAAGTGATTGTTTCCAGTCCCAGCTGGTAGATAGCTGGTTTCATAAAGCAGCTGTTTTCCAACTTTATTATGTATCAGAAACATCTGAGGAACTTAAGTGATTGCTGTAGCTCTACCTCATAGTCTCCGGGTAGTTTTGGGGTAAGGTCTAGTACATGTATTTTTATAAGTTCCCAGAGGATGATGAAACTGCTAGTCAGGGCACAACAGTTTGAGAAAGCTTCAAGATTGCTTTTTCATTATTGTTTCTGCTTGCCAGTGTTAAATATCTCAAGAATGTTTTCATTACACACATATTTCTGTAGTTTTTACAGGTTTTTTTCCTCCCTAAGAGGAGGAAGTCACTAGGAAACTCAGACCACTCAGATCTTTTGTTGTGGATTCAATTTTCTTGATAAATTCTTATTTAAGTCAGAATATGTTCTCTTTCATTACCCCAGTAATTATCTTTCCTAAATGTGGCACTTAAAAAAAATGTTTTGGTACCAGCTACCTACAGAGACTGCCCTGATTTGAGTCTTCTGGGATTCGTGGTCACTATACATCTTTCCTTTAGGGAGTCGGCCCCTTCTTCACACTGTATTTTAGATTGGCTTTGCGTGGTTATAGTTTAGCTAACCACAACCTTTTGAACAGGTTTTCTGTTCTGGCTGCTCAGTTTTCTGAGTATGTGGCATCTTTTTTCTTTTCTTTTTAAGAGTAGGAAAAATTTATTGAGAGAAAGAAAGCTTCTGTCTGAGAGACACAGAAGGGGAACTAGAAAATGGGTTGCCCACCCACCTTGTTTCTCAAGGGGTTTTATAAGGCAAAGCCACGAGGTGAGGCAGGTTCAAGGTGGGACAAAACTATAATCAACTTGTAAGTTTACAAGTATAGTCACTTAGGTAACATTGATCCAATGAGCAATCACAAGGCGGACAAAACTATGAACAACCAATAAGATTATGACAAGTACAGTCGCTTAGGTAATGTTGGTTAAGTGGGGATCCAATGGGAAAGCAAGTCACATGGCAAGTGTACAAGGATTTTCAGTCAGGGATCTTTCCTGAAAGGGGTGAGTAAGGTCTTGGTCTGCCACCCAGGCAGTTGATACCTATTTAGAATATCAATCATCTGTGAGTACTGTGTGGCAGTTTCCATTCTTTTACAATGCTGGTCTTCAATGAATGTGTCTAGATTGCCCTCCATGTTGGTTACTTGAAGGCCTGCCCTGTCTAACTGCCTACAAGATAATCTAATTAACTCACCTGTCTACAATATTACCTCCTCTAAAGAAGTACCCCTAACTGCCATGAGGGGGCAAGGAGCGAAGAGTGTTCTGGCTTCTGCCAGCTGAAGAGGGTCGTAGTTGTGATCAGCAGTCAGACTTACTCTACAGAGGGTCTACCTAAAGGCCCTTGATAGATACCAGGCATTGTCATCTTGGTAGCTGTATCGCTTTGAATCTGGAGGAGACAAAGCCAAAGAAACAGTTATAAATACATGGGTTGAATAATAAGGTCAGCAGGATTGCTATGAATATAGCCAACAAGCATTTTCACCAGGAGGAACTAGTAATAGCCTCCCACAAAGAGGAAGAGGTCCAGGGGACTTCAGAATTTGACATACAAGTCATATTGTAATTTAGCAGTTATGTAGCATCTTTTTTCTCCATGGCTAGCCACACAGATTTGTGTGTTCCATGCATTTCTGAGGTGCTTTCTGCAATTCTGTGTGGGATATATATGGACTGTTTTTTCCATTTTCCCTGAATCGGTGTCAGTATGTGCTCATCACTTCCACTTAAAGAACAATAGCAGCCTCTTTTACTCTCTGACATGTCTCCGTTTAGAGGAAAACATTATATGTGTAATTCTCATGAAAGTATTCAGGAAAGAAGATCCAGTTTCTGCCTCACAAAAGTTAGCAAAATATTTACCTTAGCACATTTTGTTTAAGTAAATTGGTGACAATGGAGTCTTAGTGTGCTGATCACCCCCTTGAAGTATTGCTTTTCTTTATCTAGTCCTTGATGGGTTACAAGAGGGCTGGTTGTACTGCTCTGTAAAGGAAAGAATGCAGTGACCACTTTATGAGATTTTGCTAGCAAATACAAATTAAACTAGTCTCCCCGATTAGCAGTGTTTCTTTCCATAGAAAGGGATCCTCTCTGAAGCTCTCCTTCCTGGCATTCTTCCCACACAGAAGAACATGGGCTCAGGCAGTTTGTGTAACGTCTTCAGTTGCCAAGAACTGTTGGCTGAAGTCATAAAGCTATGCTGGGGTTTACTACAACTTATGGCAGTGGATTTCAGCAAGTTTTTGCTATTGCTGCACATTCATTTCCTCTCTTAGGGAATCAGTAGTGCAGGGTCTATAGTGGCCATTCCAAACCATCTCCACTTCTCGCACCCAAGTCCCCTCTTGCCCCTGTCATTCTCAAAAAATTATTTCATCAGCAGCTTTAGAGAAGCCCGAAGCCATCCCAGTGGGAACTCTCTTCTTTGTTCTTTGAAATATTTGGATTATTATGCAACCTTACTTCCTTCTTATTTCAGAAGTAATACTCATTCTCCTTGCTAAGGTACCTCTTTGTTTTCTTTCTTCTTTCTACTTGTGTTCTTTCTTGTGGTATCCGTGGCTCCCTTTCCATTTCTTCTTTTTATAAGAATATACTTTTCTTGTCCCAGCCATCCATTAAAGTCTTTCTTTTACCTTCATTACTACATTTTTTTTTTTTTAAACATCAACTCTGTCTCCTGAATCTACTTTCTTTCCATCAGGACTCACATATTTCAGAACCGGCACACTGAATTCTATGTGCAGGAATCTCTCTGAGGCCATTTGACTCACACACAGTGTACTTTGCTTCAATTCTCACTTCCTAATTTAAAGATCACAGTCTGATGGTTTGTAGACCTGGCCTTTGTTGGTAGTACACAGAGGTTTCAGTACATGTTTAATGGACATTCTAACACTGTTGTTGAGGGTCTGATTACTTAGCATTTTTCAGAATTAATGGAAGACGTATGTACTTAGGTTTCAAGCATAGTTGGAATTGCAAGCATGGTAAATGTTCACCTATATTCATTACAGTGAAGCCATAGCACTTAGCTTTTCAAAAATAAAAAGAAAATCTGTAAATCTTCAAAACTTCAATTGCATTAGAAATAAAAAACAGACAGTTGGACTGAGTAGGGTTCTTTCAGTCTTGACATTTTCTAACCACTTTGGTGGAGACACCTTATCACATCTTCTGTTTGTCTGCACTCATTTTGGAAGCCTCAAGTTCTTATTTAGTATTTTGGGGTGTAGTAACTTAAGTGCTCCTGTTTTAAATCTTGTCTCCCTAGACATTAGTCTTTCTTTGCCTGTATCTTCTAAGATACTGCCTTCAGCTATCATTATTTTGTTCTTCATTTACAAGGTCATATTTTTAGCCTCATACTTTTCCTTTTTTTTTTTTTTTTTTTTTTGGTACTGGGGATCGAACTCACAACCTTGTGCTTGCATGGCAGGCACAGTGCCACTGAGCTAAATCCCCGGCCCTTCATACTTTTCCTTTTAAGTTCCAAATTCGCAGAGTCATTTCTGCCTCAGTGACACAGTAGCATAGTGATTCTCAGAGTGTGGTCTCTGCACAGCTTATAGATCTTTAAGACCCTTTCAGGGCTTCTACAAAGTCAAACCTGCCTCCCAAACAATGCTAGGATGTTATTTGCCCTTTCCCTCCCACTCTGTCCAAGTGTGCAGTGGGATTTGACAGAGGCGGCATGACATGTGAGGATCTCAGGGCTCTGACAGCTCAGGGAACATGTGCTTGAGCATTCTTGTGCTTTAAATCTTCTTGCTTTTCATTTCTAGTATGGTAAATATAAATAGATATAATGCATGAACAAAATCTCTTTTGGGGTTCTTAATAGTTGTTAAGAGTGTAAAAAGGTTCTGAGGACAAAGTTTGAGAACCATTATTGTAGCAATTTATACTCAATAGATTTAAAAAATGAAACTCTTCAGTTCTTTTTCTCATCCATGAACCTTCAGATACAGTTCCTTTTTTAAAATTGATTTTATTGGTACACTTTAGATATACCTAAGAATCACACTCATCATAGGGAATGTGTACCTGTACATGATATATCTTGCTTCCTCTTTTTCCCCAATCCCTTTCCCTCCCTTTAACCCCTCTCATATATAATTCCTGATTCTTTTAACAGCATCATCTTTCCTTCAGACTCAAAAGCAGGAGACTTGAGAAACATCTCTCATTTTTCCCTTTTACTTACTCGACTACAAACCCAAGGCTTTGCAGAAGAGAATTTACTACTATATCTGAAAAGAATAGTGCAGCCCAGTGACACAGTGGGGAATGATAAAATCAGGACCAGGGAATAAGCCGTGTGATTTGAGGCAGGCAGCGGAACCACTGAGCTATATCCCCGGCGAAGCCGTGTGATTTGAACCAAAGGGGTAAAACAGTCCTGTTAGCAACTGAATGTCAAAAGTGTACTGCAGTGTGCTCACTGTTAATTGATTTAGTTGCTGAGTAGGCTTAGGACAAGAGCACATAAGTGGAGATGACATTTTTCATTGTGGTTAAATAGTGATGAAAAAAACAGTGCCCATGGTGGTGCGGTAAGATCTATTTTTTATACATGCTTTTTTTTTTTTTTAACCAGTATTATCTTATTGGATAGATTATTTATTTGTTTGTTTGTTTGAGACAGTGTCTCACTATGTAGTTCAGGCTGACCTTGAACTCAATATGTAGCTGAGGCTGGCCTTGAACTCACTGCTATTCTCCTCCCTCAGCCCCTGGGGTGCTGGGATTACAGGCTTTTGCTCCCATGCCCTGCTTGGATCCTTTAAAAAAGACACTCACTCAAGGAGTAAGCTGAGCCAGGGCTATGTGCAGATTCCCTAGGGACTTTGTCCAGGTCAGCAGGCTCAAACATATAGAAACCAATCTTCTGACCCTCTGGCCCAAGCAACTGAAAGGACACACAGGAGGCATTGCTGCCATGAAACAGTCAGTTCTGTTTGCTTTTCTGATCAGTAACCAGCACTATTAAGCCCAGGTGTATGCATATCTTGTAGTCATGGTTTTCTCTAGTTTACCTTCTCAGGTTAGAGCAACTCATTGATATAGTCAAATGAAATACCAGGAAAACCATGAGTCCAGGAGCAATCTCTTGGCCTGGATCCACTCTTTACAGGAACATGCAGGGTAAGTGTTCATTTCCTGGATGCAAGTTAAATTCTTGAGCACCTAACAACAAAAATTCTCTGAATGAGAAAGCCTCTTTCCTTTTCCTATACCTTATAGCAGCACTTCTCCAGCTGTGTTTTGCAAGAGTGATAAGTTCTGTGAAAAGAAGTGTGCTTTGGTTAAGGGTATTTGGGAAAAGCTGCACCCTGGTTGTTCCCTTGGAGACTGAGAGCGCACAGCAGCGTGCTCAAGGCTGGGAGAAGCCCTGCGAAGGAGAAGTTGCTGAAGTCTGCTTAACCCAGCCTGTCCCCAGCTGGTGTGACCATAAAACTCATCTTTTTTCTCTCTTTCTTCCTTTTTCCGTTCCTCCCCTCCCCTCCCTTTCTCTCCCCTCTTTGCCCCCCTTTCCTCCCCTTTTCTTTCCTCCCCTCCCTTCCCCTTTCTCTTTCTTTCTTCCCTCCCATCACCTTCCCTTTCTTTTCCCTTCCTTTGGTAGCATGCCTAACTTCATCCATTCTACAAATAAAATGACTATTTCTAAGACATGGTTTAGAAAACATTGACTTACTCTAATTCCATGATTATTGGATACATAAATATCTTGTTATGATAAACATTTGAAAATGACAATGAGCATGACTAATCATTCCAACAAGTCTCCCTTGGTAACTTCCCACTCTTATGTTTCAAATACGAATTTCTTACATGTGAAAGATCCTTGAATTTTAATCTTTTGCCCTCACCTCATTTCCATGCCCTGTTGTACTTTTTTTTTTTTTCCATAATGGGGATCGAACTTGGGACCTCGCACTTGCGAAGCAGGCGGCGGCCCACTGTTGTACTTTTTTTACCTAAACATTCCATCACCACCTCAGTATGCCCAGCATTGTCTTCCCCCTCACCCAGTCTATCACCCTGTGTCTATGAATCGCATCATTGTCCCCAGTCTTCCATGATATTTGATCTACTTAGCCTCATGTCTTCCAGTTCACTGCCTTCCTGACCATATCACTTTAAGACAATCCCTGCCTCTCCATTCTCGGTTGCCCTGCCACTGACTCCCAGTCAGGCTCCCAGGTGACATTCGCTCTCTCCAGTTCATTTTAAGACTAGAGGGAAGGCCTGTGGAGCTGGTTCTGGACAGTTTTTGCTTACACAATTTCACTGGGTCTCATGGTCTTCTGGAAAATGTTGAAATCAAGGCTCTTATCTAACTACTTTCACACTTTGATCCCACCCTATTTTTCTAACATACCCCTCAATTCCATTCATGGAGTTATGAAACTGCTTCTTTCAGAGAGAAGGAATATCTTGCTGTTTTCCTATACAACTTCCATGCACTTGTAAGCCTACTTTTTGTTTGCTTGCAGTCTCCTTCATTTTCACCTCATCCCTCATCTTTATTTAACAAGTTTTCTATCCTCCCAGTCTCAATTGAGAGACCAGCAAGCTTATGAAATTTCCCTTAATCTTTTCAGGAGGAGGTGATGTGTCCTCTAGGTCATCATCATACTTCATACCTAGGTTTCTTGTAACTCCTAGTTTTTTGTGCACCACCTCATGCTTGCCTCAGCTTCGTGATGTCAGTCCCTGTCATCTACATGCTTGTGTCCTTGTCAGACCCTAACCCAGGGCTTTGCATAACAGGAATAAAAAAGATATTGAATAAATATAAATGGTCTTCAATGCTATTTTTATGTGAAATGACTTCATTTGAAGATATGCTGTGCCATCACTAGAGATAACGTATGCAATATCCTTATGTTCTTAAATTATAACTTTCAGAGAGTGAATGGTGTTGATGAGGCTTCAAATTAGCACACAGTCATGGAGCTATTTTTAATTGAGCTATACATGCTCCTTCAAGGTTAATTTAAACATGGGCATGTTCAGTGCTTCCAGATTCACTTTACATGGTGTAAGGAAATGTGGGCCCAAGAAGCCCTGAAAACCTGTGGTATTTCCCTATCTTGCGCATACGGTGGAACTAAAGTGTTTTCCTTCGTACATGTTCTCATCCTTATGCATTTTGCAGAATTGAAATCGTGGTTAATGTTTACATTGAAAATAACTTCCTTTTGTTACATGTTACATAAGGAGGGAGGTACAGGTTTCTCTTTTTAAGTGGGTTAGGGCCACTTCAAAACACAGTCCCCTGTGGATAAATGACAGTGTGGAGAACACAAGCGCACTTACTTACTTTCCCTTTCACAGCCCCAAACTCCAGTGTCTTCTTTTCCCTGATTAGCACTTTAATGGCCACTTCAAAAGTCTCCTTATTGGGAGTCAGATGAAAAGCTCTGTATCAGGAGGCACTGTGGGAGGATTATCCTCACATTTTTTTCAGAGTATGGGTTTCATAAGCCAAATAATTGTAAGAAGCCCTGTAGTTTACTAGAGCAGTTCTTTTGAAAGTTTACCATACGTGCAAAGGACCTTGCTGAAGTTCAGAGTGTGACTGAGCACTCTGAGTGGGTAGAAGAAGAGGGTAGTGAGGGTCTGACTGGGATGCTGCCCATTCATGGACCACACCTAGTAGAGACCAAGAAAATGGTCGTGGGAGGTTGATGATGCCCTAGACAAAATGGTTAACCTTTCTGACCCTTAGTTTTTCTCAAGTGTGATATGACAAGGTTGAATGAAATAGTTTCTAACACCTCTTCCCAATCTAACACCGAATGACAGGAGGAAGAACAAAGAATCAGGATGCAGGCTGTGGTTCTAAGCATGTATTCATTGTCTTTATCTCAATCTGGCTTTCATATTTATTAACAGTTTATCTTAAATGCAGTGTGAATGACAACCATGAAAATTTCCTTATTTATGTTAGAATGTGGAGCTTTAGGAGCTAGCCATAAATCTCTGACCTCGTACAAGAAGTTGCATGTGAAATGTGCTTCCCCTCCACCCTCATCCTTTACCTATATCCTGTTGTTTTTATTTTACTAGGAAATTCTCCATAATTTGGGTGGGATTGAAAACCTGGCTCAGGTAAGATCTGTTTTGTGGTGGCTGGGCTTGCCTCTTCATTCTGTGTCGTGACCAAGGCAAGGGTGGAATGAGTGTGGGGCACAAAATCACTTTCTCATGGTGTATAGCTTGCCAGGACAGGGTGGTGGTGGTGGGGATAAGTGTGAGCCTGAAGCACAACACTCACAGAGCAGGGAGGAACCCATAACATTTTGTTCTGGCTAATCAGGCACATTTCACTCAGCCTTATTGAAACAAAAATATCCTATAAAAGTCTCATGTCTGTAGCTCATAAAGACAGGGAGTAGGCGTTGGCTGGCACTGTTAAGTCCTCAGAACTCTGCCTTCCATATGATGGGAGAAAATGTTACAAAGATGGTTAAAACATTTTCACACAGAAATAATTACTGTGCTATTAAAATAATAAATGAATGAAGTAAGGAATGATCTTAGCATCTTTATTTTTCTGAGGGAAGGTAACCAGATGGATATATATATATATATATATATATGTATAAAACGCAGTGATTTGGATTAATTAATACAATAACACATACTGCTGAATAGTAACCGTTCACTCTCTAACACCTATAGTGTGTACACGAAGAGCGATCTGTGCAGCAAAACTGAGACCCTCAAACTCATTCTGAGTTACTAACGGAAGCTTGAGTTTAATGGCAGGATAACGTTAAATCTAGTTTATTCTCTTTCCTGAGAATTGATTCTTTTCTAAATTTTGTTTTTAAGAATCCTAATTGGTTGGAGGTTGACCTCATTTAATGAGATGATCTTTCATAAGATTAGGTTGTAGAGGATCCTCTTGTCCACTTTAACTTCTGTTGTAGTGTCAGAAATTCTGTGTGTTTCTCTGAACCTATTCTTATTATAATCAGTTATTGACAGTGAGGAAATATATGACTTCATTTTATTCTTACTGATACCTGCCTTTATACTAGTTAGGCATAATTTTGGATATTATAAAACATAAGGCTAAGAAAATGTATGCAGTATGTTATAAAAACTCTACTTTTTTTTCTTCCCCATTAACTTTATTGGTACATTTTAGGTATACAATACAGTTACATTCATCATTGGGATCTTGTACCATTACGAGTCTCTTGGTTCTTATTTTAAAGCAGATTACAAACTAAGCATTTTTTTTTTTTTTTTTTTTTTTTTTGGTGCCGGGGATCGAACTCCGGTCCTTGCGCTTTCAAGGCAGGCGACAGAACCACTGAGCTAAATCCCCGGCCCAATAAAAACTCTACTTAAAGGAACAGTGAAGAATTAAACTTCTGTACCACATATTGTATATTTTGTATTTAGCTATTAAATTCCAGCACAAACTTACTCAGTTACAAGTCTTTGGGGACTTTAGAGAGTTTACACAACCTTTAGACGGTCTCCCCATCAATTTCAGGGCATCCCTACTACTTGCTGTCCCTGAGTGCTACAGAGCCGGGAGCATGGAGTAATAATTGGTGAATCTGTTTTGCCACCTAGAGGTCATTTTAAGAACTACACCACCTTATGCCTGACCTGCTTAGGGGTTTTGGTATCCCTCCTTTCTAATCGGCTTGTTGGTTGGTTCTTCCTGCAGTACATGGAGATTGTGACCAACGAGTACCTGGGCTACGGAGAAGAGCAACACAGCGTGGACAAGCTGGTGAACATGACATGTAAGCACGGTCTCAGGGTCCAGACTAACTTTGGGGACTTGCTCAAATAAGCAGCACGGCGTTCACAGCAGCAAGAAAGGACATCGTGATACTTACGAATGTATCCATTCACATTAGGGTGTTGAGAGTCCGTGCCAATTATCATATGCTGGGACAAAACACACGGGAATACTTTCAGATTCCAGCTCTTACTTTGGAAAGGACAATTTATTTCATGTAAAAAGGGCTTACACGAAAGCAAATTTTGTTTGGGAGAAATATTTTTGCCCTTGTTAGAGTATCAGAGACTCCACTTTCACCTATAGTATTTGGTTAACAATAATACCTACCTTATAGAATTTGGAATGTAAAAAAAAAATTCAGAATATGAAAAAAGAAAAAGGAAGCCAGGCGTGGTGGCTCTCACCTGTAATCCTAGCACTCTTGGGAGACTAAGGCAGGAGGATGGTAGGTTCAAGCCCAGTCTGAACAAATTAAAGAAATTCTCTCAAAATTAAGAAAAAAAAGAGTCTCATACGAAGACAGTGATGCGCAAACTCTGCTCTGTGGGTGTGGGGTGCTTCCTGTACACTTGGTGTTTTCTCTTGGGACCCTCTACTCCTCCCTGCAGTGTTGGGATGATGCAGCCCATTTCCTGCCAGCCAGTGGGCTTCTCGCCCTCTTTGTTTGCAGGGCAATGCACTAGCACCCCGATTCTCAGCGTCAGGAGTCTGTGGCAAGCCCCAGGCACCAGGCTGTCTCTTTGAGGACGATTGTTTTCCCTTGGCTGAGGAGCTTTGCCACATTTACCCCCATGTGCTGGCCTCCCCTCTCCTCTCGCTAAGTTGAAATCATGCTAAGGGAGATCTCTGAAGAACAGGCCTGCTTTGAACTTGTAATGATGTCAAGGAACTTGTTCACCTTTTAAGTGGAAGGAGAGGTGTGCTGTTTCTGAGATTTCCATATTTCAACATCACAATAATATTATAAAATCAGTGTTGAGCTTGAGGGGTAATTCTTGGGGTACGAAGTGGCCCTGCCCCTCCTCCCTGTGTTGCTCCTTTTGTGTGTCTGTGTTTCCCTTTGCCCTTTCTCTGCTGGCCCATCGGTATTGCAGACCCTGGCTTCTATGAGTACTGCTGCCTTTAAGCTCCCCACGTCTTTCTGTCTTTACAGATATTTTTCAAAAACTTGCTGCTGTCAGAGACCAAAGAGAATGGGTCACCACAAGCAGAGCCCACAAGGTGAGTTGGCCTTCAGCGAGCATATGCTCCAGCTGCGTGTAGCTCTTGATAGCAATAGTTTACATGCCCATCCCTGTTCAGAGCCTTTAGGGCCACGCTGCATGTGACTGTGACTCACAGACCTGCTGAACTGGCCTAAAGTTGTGATCCTCTGTCAACCCTTTTATATTCTTTACCAGCCTAGGGAGTCAGTATGGATGGGTAAATAAAGGTTTGTCTGATCCACTTCTTGTTCTATGCCATGTAATATGAACTGAGTTTATTGCTTAATTTAAATTTTGCTTGAAAAACTCTGGCTATATATCAGTTGACCCTAGGGGTGTGTTTATACATAAATGAATGTTAAGCAACAGATATAATGTGCACATGTATACTTATAAATAAATTCCATATGTCATATGAGTTATATTAGATTGAACCATATGAAACTGCCATTGTTTGTATCTCAAAACTGGTTCAGTGTAGGCCACCTCAATGATACAACTTCATAATAATATGGGATAGTATTACATAATAAGTTGGGATAGTATATGGATCAAATATGTATTTCAGCATGGATGAATGCAGGTTTAATCAAAACAGATTAAACTTATATTACAGTAAAACTGTTTAGGTCATGGCTGCCTAGAGCCAACTTTTAGTAACCTGTTACGTACTCATGTCCCAGAAAGCTATTTACCAGTGTACATTAGAGCAGGTTTGCCTATAGTACATCAACACATGCTGCCTATAGTCTAGGGCAGTGGTGGTGAATTTATGGCGCACATGCTGCAGCAGGCTCGTTATATCATTGAAAGTTCTAAAAGATTCACCATCAATGGTCTAGGGGATGATTGTAGAAAACTTTTGAATTAGCATTGTTAAGTGGACATAGCAAAAAATATGAAAATGGTGTGTCTGGGATTAAAGTTTGGGAAGTATCTTAGAAGACAGAGAAAAGAAAAGGAAGAGAAGAAAAAGAGGAAGGGATCAGAAAAATAGCAACAGCTTCATGACTTCATTTTTTTTTAAAAAACAAAGAAATCATCAAGGGAGGAAATCTACATAATGGGAACCAAAAAAATCATTCTAGCAGTTATTGCACAGATTTAAACTTTGACCTAGAATCTGTTTGGGGTTGTACGTTTTTGGGGGTGCTCTTATTCTGAAATTGTGTATAGAAGAAAAGAGATTTGCATTAATGAGAATTTGGGAGAGGCAACTGACAGAAACAGAAAATGTCCAGCTGAGTCATACTTGGGATGATATTTAAGAGCATCAGTGATGCCCTTTTAACACCGCCTCAATGTCTGAGAGCAAATGGAACACTCTGCAGTGTTAACACCTCTTGGTTAGTTTGTAAGAAAAATGCAAGCTTCAATATGCATAATGTAGAAAGTGCGTAGTACAATGCCTGGCTCAGAGTGAGTTCTTAATGTCCAGTCACTACCATAACCTATGCCATTAGTCTCCACTTCCCCCGGAGCGGGTCAGAAGTGCTACGCAAAATGCTTGGGCGCAAGAAAATAAAGGAAAGTGCAGGGTCTGGCTAGTTGCCACGTGATTTGGTCCCTTACACTTTCCTGTCTGGGTGGGGAGTGGCTCCAAGGAACTGCTCTCAAGAGTTCCAGGTAAGGAAGAAAAAGGCACCTGTCCTCTGGAAAGAACTGACGTGCTTTTGATGTTTATCCAAACTTCTTTAAAGGTTAAGCTTCTACGTGGATTACAAAATAAAAAATAAAAGAACCTATATAAGGCTTGATATAAGAGAATAGCATTTTTCATTATTCTCTAAGTAGAGCTATAATACATAATTTGATTCTATTTATAGAAATTATGGTTTTTATTAGTCTATTTTGGCAATACATAATAATTACATACATCTCAGGGAACTGGTACATATACATATTGTAGCCCAATCATTTCTACTCCTCTTTCTCCCCATTCTACCTTCTCCCTCCTTCTCCAGATCCCTTCCCATCTTTAATATAAGAAATAACTTGATTCTATTTAATAAAAATTATGCTTATAAAAACATATTTGCTGTCATGAAGACATTTTAGTGGGTAACATTAAGAAGGAAACAAATGAGCTGCTATAAAATTGTATATACAGTTTCTTCATAATTATGCATGCACATAGATTTTTAAAAACAAACAAAATCCTAAAAGGTTAAACCTTTCTATTTAAAAGGAAGCATTGTACCATTAAAGAAGATTGTAGTACTTACATAATTAAAATTTGTTTCCCATTTTCAGACACTAGTAAATTTACTCAGTGCTCGAGACACTAACGTCCTATTGGGTGCACTTCTGGCCCTGGCCAGCTTAGCAGAGAGGTAAGTATATTTAAATATGCTTCGCAGTTCTGCTGCTATAGCAGTGTAGATGGAGGGATGAAATATAGACCAGTTGCTTTGTCACCTTCTCAGTTAAAATTTGCAGAAAAATAAGCATAAAGTAGCCTGTCGAAGAGGATCTTGAGTGGAAAGTATCATTTTCAACTTATGTCAGAAAGGCAAATAACTGCTTAAAATTTTCTTTTGCTTTCTGACTTAAGATATTTACCATGTCTTTTCATCTAACCCCAGGTTACTGCTGCTTTCAATATTACCATAATATTTCTTTGCCAGTGAAATCTCCCTGACCTTCCTTCCTCATTCTTAGCTGTATATTCATTTTAACTTGCAGAACATTTTCAAACATTTTTGACCTTAAAAATATCTTTAGAAAACTTCTCCCATAGGTATCATTATTTTAAATAAAACTGCTTTCAATGTATTTTTATGCCGATAAGTAGATCATTTTTTTTGTGAACAGCATGTGATACATTTTTTTGGGGGGGTCTCTCCTCCAATATGAAAGCTAAGATATTAATGTAGTAAAATATATTTTTAATACTTACTAATATTTTAAAATCTGCAGTCCAGAATGTAGGGAGAAGATAAGTGAACTCAACATTGTAGAAAATCTATTGATGATTTTACATGAATATGACTTGCTTTCCAAAAGGTAGGGTTGCTAAAGATGTTGTCTTATGCTTGATGAAATGCTTAGTGTTTTTATTGTTATATTATTTACAATGTTAACTGAGTATCATGAGTTAGCTTGGCAGTTATTTTCTGATTAAGCTTATAGAAAGAAACTAGTGCAAAGAAGTGTATTGATTTACTTTTTCCTGCATTCTAGATCTGTGCATAGAATACAAATATGTAATCTTATGATTAAATAATTCTATACTTTTGCTTAGTATGTTTATTTAGTTTATTTACATACTTTATATGAGCAAGAAACTTGAAGGTGGTTCTTTTTATACTTTCAGGCTAGGTGTGGACTAAATGATTAGGTTGCTAAGTCCATTTTACTTAAGATAAGTTAAATAAGATACTGACTGACTTGTTTTTTGATCATTTGTTATCACTTAGGACCAAATCTTGAGTAAAATTTTTTTTTTTTTGGTACTGGGGATCGAACTTGGGACCTTGCGCTTGCGAGGCAGGTGGTAGAACCGCTGAGCTAAATCCCTGGCCCGAAATGTATCGTTTTTAACTTGAGCTGCATATTGCTTAAAGGATTACCCTGTCCAGATAGTTACTTGGATATATTTAAATAGAGTTGCAATCTGCATCATTTGATATTTAGTTGAATCATAATTTTCTAAAAAGCCAAGATAGATACCAGAAATCTCAAGCCCTGAAGCCTTAAACTTTATTCATAGTAATTTTTCGTATTCTTCTTTAAAGCTGATTTAATATTCTTTTTCAGTAGCATTAGATATAGACAAGTGTCTATATATTTACATAATTGGTCATCTGAACTTACCAAAAAAGAGACCAGACACTATACCAGGTATTAGAAAACCAAAGATGAATAGCATACAAATGTGCAGTGTAGGGGTGGGGACAGACAGACAAATCACAGATTTCACTGTAGTGCTATAGGTAAATGGACACAGGTTACTCTGGGAACCTGGAGCAGAGACCTCCCAGTGCAAGTGGAGGATCATGCCTGGTGTTCTAAAGGATGGAAGCTGTATCTAGGCAGAGCGAGAGAGCAATTGAAACAGAACGTACTCCAATCTGGAGGTGCGAGAGGAATGTGCATGTTGGGGTATAGCTGGAGCAAAATAACAAAAGTGCCAAAAAACTAACAGATAGTCAATAATAAATTTGAAAATGTAGCTAATTTTTGATCAGTGTTGTGTATATGCCAGGCCATGCTCCAAGAACTTTTGAGTGTCTACTCATTTGATCTGCACAATAACTATTTTCCATGCTTTATAGATGAGCCAATAGGGCATTTTTGTCCAGGTATGATGGGGTTTATGTGTGAAATAAAGATTCAGATGTTAACATGCACGTTGTAGGGACTACTGGAAAGATATTAAGCATGATCACATTAATTTTTGAAAGGTTATTCTGCTAACTCTGTATGCGAAAATGGGGTAGACTGTGGGATATATTCATACATTGAGATCCGCTGATAGCATGGAGAGAATCTCTGATGTAGAAAGTTTGAGAAGGCAAAGAGTTACTGTTTGCTGAAGAACACATGCTTTTAAGGTCATAGCAGAAAAATTTGAGTAGGGGAGGAACTTGGAAAACTGGTTCAGGGAAAGGGATTAGAAGGCAGTATGGGAAGGAGGCCACTGGAGAGGTAGATAATAGAGGGCATACGTCTTGACCATGATTGAGGGTGGGAGGAGCAGTGGGGTTGGTTGTGTGCCTTTCAGGGGAATCCTCTCCATGGTGGCCCAGGAAATAGGGGCCACAAAGGGCTCTTGATTGGCAGTGGCAGGCGTTGGAGGAAGTGTCTTGTGTGACTCTCAGTCTTCTGGCTTGGAAAATTGAAAAGGTTGTGGTCCAGTTGGGGTTATGAGAGAAAAAATGTATTTGAAGAGGAGGATAATGTTGAATTTAGACATGGCACGCACGAGCACTTGTGGAATATCTGTGTAGCTATAGCCCAGAGCAATGCCTGGGCTAGGTCATGATGCCAGGGGATGGGAGGTGTTTGTAGCCATGGGAATGGATGTTGCTGTCCTGGGACAGCACATAGAGTATGAGCATGAAGGACAAAATTAATTCCATGAAACCTCTACCATCATAATGTTTCACAGCTCAGCTGAATCTTGTATCTTTACCATCATTTTTTATTTTATTCTCCAGATATCATTGAGGATTTTGTACATAATCTCCCCACACTGTAGAGTTGTTTTTTTTTTCACATTTTCTTTGATTGCTTATTTTGTAACCATGCACTAAATTTCATATTTCTTTTACTTTCAGTACATACAAGTTGTACTCTTTGTGCTCATTACCTACTTACTGGTCAGCAGGATTTTAGAAGAGTGGTCAGCAAACTATACCCCATAGGGTACATGTGGCCTCCTTGTTTTGTAAATAAAGATATATTGTAACACCTTGTGCCCCTTGATTTTTATGTATTTTCTGTGCTGTTTTCACACTACCTCAACCTAGCTAAATAGTTATGATGGACATTGTATGGCATGCAGTGCTGAAACTATTTGGCTTAGGTCTATGGCCAAAATAGGTGTTGACTGACAATTTGAAGAATGCTAGAGTCATATTCTGTGCAGTCATGGTGGCTCTAGCATGAGTGTGATGTTATTAACTTGTGGTGCCTCCTGGTCCCTCCCAGACTGACCGCAGAGCTGCTGCGCCTCCTCTGTGCTGAGCCCCAGGTGAAGGAGCAGGTGAAGCTCTACGAGGGGATACCCGTCCTCCTCAGCCTGCTGCACTCTGACCACCTGAAGCTGCTCTGGAGCGTTGTTTGGATTCTGGTCCAGGTTTGTGAGGACCCGGAGACCAGTGTGGAAATCCGCATCTGGGGAGGCATCAAGCAGCTGCTTCATATTCTACGAGGGTACGCATGGGGTTTGGCTTGCTTTGTTGTAATGGTTGAAGGCTGGGGACGCTGGCAAGGTGACTGTCACACACACACATACACCCAAAGAATCGAATTCTTAGCCATGAGTATAGGGAAGGGATGGATTAGAATAGTTTCAAATTGAAACTTTCTTGATGTATGTTGCAATGTCATTAGGCATTAGTATGTCTTACGAATTGAATATGTGCAAGTATTAAATAATAATGTTTAGATACCTCCATGAGATAATTCTATTACCTATAAAACATAATTCAGCCTTGTGGGTGCTAAATTAAAGTTAAAAATGAATACGTCTGCTTGAAAGAGATAATATTTAAGATCTGTAGTGCATAAAGCTCATTCTAATAAAAACAGTGACTTATCAATTTTAATATAACTAGATATTATCAAATCAACATTATTAGAACTTTGCACAAGTTATTCCTTTAGGGATATTGTGGAACTTTGTATTACAAACTTCATTTTCTCTGAGAGAACATTCCAAAGCATAGGAACAGACTGCAGAGACATGAGCTTTGTAATGATTTTTGACAGTACTAAAACAAAGGAAAAAAAAAAAGACCGTTGACAATCTACTTGCTTTTATGAACATCACATAAAAACCTCAATTATTTTATATTATAAATCTTTCAAAAGTATTACAACCTAAAAAGCTAGCCCTTTCGTCAGAGTAGTTAACAACTGCCAAAGATTTTTTGTTTGTATTGATAGGATGAAGATAGTGATGATGATGATTGTGGTTATTATTATTTATTATTGGTCAGTCATATCTAATGCAACAGTTGTGTTTTGGCCTCTTAGAAAGTAGTGATTTTCTTAATAAAAAATGAATTTACATATAGTTAATGTTTTAAAAATAAAACCTTTTTCTTCATAGAGCTGAGTCTAAGACAAGGCATCATTTTCCTTATTTGCTCAAGTGCTAACTATCCTTGCTAGAAAAGGATTCTTTCCTGCTTAAACAGTCATTTTCCAACCAGTATCAATCGTGTAATGTTTAGAAAACTCTTCCCTGGGAAAATGATATACGTCAGCTCTTATTGTATGCTAAAAGTGCCTTGCTTTTCTGGGAGAATTTATTACCCCACCTGGATAAATAATGTCCTTTCAGAGCTCATGCCTGCCCCGGGAGCTGGCACTAGGAGAGGAGACCGAGGCCGGGAGGTGTCTGGTGGCTCGAGTAGGAACAGGCATTGTTATTAGGAGAGCTCTCAGGAGACCTGTCCGTGCACATTCACCTTAAAATTAAAGGTGTGCTCTTGGTCAGGTGGAGCGATTCCTACAGTTTGAGTTTTAAGGAGTTCTGTTGTCTCATAGGATCGCCAGTTGCGATTGTCTTGGGGCCCAATCCCACTACCTTTCCCATCCCCACTTAAAGAAGGACATGAGTTCACCAGGATGTCATGGAAGGGAAGCCTCATGAGCATGTAGACATCCAGATAGAACTGCTACTGCAACAATAAGTAAATGAAAAATACAGCAACCATATAAAATAAAAGGGAACAAAGCAAACAAAGGACACATAAAGAATCTATTGTGGAAGACGGTTCACTAAAATAGAAAATCAAATGCTTTACTTCAACAAATACATTAAACAGATCATGAAAGAAAAGGAAAGAAGACAGGACAGAATAGCACCCCTAGAACTAATAAATTAACCACAGCAGCAGAAGAAAACAGGATGGAATACAATGGAGGGCAAGCTTAGGAAAGTTGCACATATTGCAGAGGAAAAAGACAAGGCAATGAAAACAATTAGAACATTGAAGAAATGGGGTTTCAACATGTGAGTAATTGTGATTCCTGAGGTAGAGAGTAAAATAGAATTTTCCTGAAATAAAGGAGGAATTTCACTGGAAAAAGAAAACTTAGAATAATCACGACTGAGATATTTTCAAGCAAGTTGATTGTAGCAAGATAGAATTCCAGAAAAAGGTAGCTTTATGAGCAGTGGGGAAAGCAGTCTGTCCAACAAATAGTATGGTATCATCTCAGTTATAGGAGGGAAGGGGAGGAGAGAGGAAGGAAGGGAGGGAAGCAGAGTTGAAGCGAGGGAGGGAGGGACCCAAAAATCAATCCTATGTGGATTAGATGCGAAACAATAAAGATAATGCAGAAGAAGACTTCATGGCCTGGGGAGGCAGACATTTTAGAATATGACACGGAAAGGACTGATTGTGAAGGAAAACTGATATGTGGTTTGTGCAATAACTTTTCAGAGATAGAAATTTTGTTTCTGACCGTTCCTCCATTGGAAGCCTGTCTAGTGCGAATGCGGCAGGCCGAATCCAGCAGCTTCATTTGTCAGACGATCTCAGTCCTCGCGAAATACAAGAAAATACTTTCTCTCTTCAAGCAGGTATTTATGTCATGTGATTATGTTTTATTATTAGATATTGTATATTTTGTTATATTATATTGCTATTTGTTGTTATGAAGTTATTATGATAGTGTTAATTAGACACAGTTTGTAAGATTATAAACTTGTACAGTTAAATCAATGTGGATGCCAGAAACATCTTGGTACTGCTGTTAGATCGGCAGGTACAATAAACTTTTCTCTTCCTTCCATGCTCTTAACTTACGGAGGAACAAATATTAAAGTTAGAGATAAAGAGAGAGAATGTTAGCTTTATTACTGAGAAAGCGGGATTTGAGATGGCAGCTTGATCTGTGGCCAGAATCATGCTTCCTGTAATTTTCTAGATCTTGGGAAACCCTATTCCCAGGAGAAAACAGAGGAAGATCCTGCCCAGGGTGGGATTTTCACACCAAAGTCAGTGCAGCTGCCTGAGGACACATTTCTTGGCAGATTTACCCTGAGCAGTCATACAGTCTGTGCCCTTCACAGGAGCATCTGGTCTTTGGGACAAGGGGCGAGGACAGGGCAGTCTTGGAGCTGCTGGCCATGCAGGAGGGGAGGGGAAAGGCACAGTGTATGCTAGAAGTGAACTGGGAAGATGCTAAGAGGGGAAGGGCACATGGGGCAGAGGTAAGGTATGAGCAGCGGTAGGGTAGAAGGCAGGCTTTCTTTATTCCTTCCTACTTCCTCCTGGAAAATGGACAAGATGTATTTTCACAGACGTATAAAGACACAAAACTAAGATCCTACCTTTCATTTACCATTTCTGTTCTCCCTGAAAGGCTTCTGTTTCCATCCTGGGCTCAAGTTGGGGGTTTCCTGTGTGGAGCTTCTCCCAGAAGTCTGATCCAGTTGGATCTCAAAGCTCCTAGTATTTTGGGGGGAATCTCCAAAGAGTGGATCAAATCAAGGGTGATGGAAGTCAGAAGGGTGGTTACCTACTTGTGGGATTATAAGAAGGTTAATGCCTAGGAAAGGGAATAAGGCGGGCTAGGAATAGCCTGTATATTCCTCTGGGTGGGGGTGGTTACAGGGTATATAGATATGTAAGCTGAACACTTAAGGTGGGCTTGCTGACTTTACATAGCTTATTTTATATTAAATACAACAAGAAAAACAAGTGAAAATTAGAAACATAAAGGATTTGAAGAGTCTGAGTTTTTGCTATACTTGCTTTAAATGTCCATATGGCTCTGGGCAATTTTCTTGACCTCTTCAAGCTTTAGTCTTGCTTATGTGAAATGGTGATGAAAATCACATTACTAGCACTAGGCGGTTGTGGTGGGAATGAAATAAGGACATACATAAAGTCTTTAGCGGAGTGGAGCTAGATCAATGTCCAGGACTTAGTGCAGTAATATTATCCCTTATAGTATGCTGCATACCACTGGGAGGACAGGGTTCTCAGTGCAGAATATCACAGTGGCTGCAAGGAGGCAGAAAAGGTACATTTCAGGACTTGGAATTCCATGTCCAGCCAGCTGGAGCTGGACTCCCAGACCCTTCCACTTATTAACCTCTTTGAACCTGTGTTCTCATCAGCAGAACTGGGAATTATAGTATATTCCTGATTGTAAGAATTAATTCAGAAAATATATTTAAAGGACTCATTAATTTATTAAGCAATGCTGATATATTTATTGAGCATCTGTTAGGTCCAGGCACATGTTGACCACTGGGGATTACGTGAGCCAGACAAATACAAATGACTTCTTGTGTATAGTGGGTGTTCAGTTGAAGGTTGCAGTGGGGTGGACATGCACATGAAATGCAGAAAGAGTGAGCTAGAAGCCATTGAAAGCCAGCTTCCCCTTGTCCAGCACTGTGCCAGAAGGAAAATCAATATTTCTTGAGTGACTTTGCTGGTAACGTTCCTGGGAGAGGCAGGTACTGATGTGCCCCTGAGGCAGAGTGTGTGCTCACAGTGATGACTGACACACACTTGCTTTGATGCTCTCTTTCCAGCCTGCTGTGCCGCCCTCACTGAGCTGGTGCTCAATGACACCAACGCCCACCAGGTGGTCCAGGTGAGTGCCCCCCGGGCTGCGAGCTTGGGTCATCTCCACTATTGATCAAGCAGCCTTCTGTTGCAGTTCGCATCCTAGAACACAGGTTTTGGGACTTATCATGTGGTTCTTAAATATTTTAACATTTCTTAATGTACAGAGTTCTAGCTCATATTCCTGTCCTTTCTTTAACTCACTTGTGACTTGTGGTCAGTTTATGTTGATGTTTCTTTCCTACATCGAGTACAGTCCTCTTCATTTTCTTTATCCTTATGTTGTTGTTGTTGATGTTGTTCTGAATTGCTTTAATCCTGGGCACAGGGGAATACTATGAGTTAAGGAGAATAGTCATTTTATCTAAGCCCATATTAGGTTATTCAGTTAGAAGTGATAGAGATACACTAAGCAAAAATATTTATTACCAAGAAACTGATTTCACGAAGTATAGCTTATTGTTTATGTAAGAAATAAAGAAGAGAGAAAGACTCATAGCAAGGACAGGCTTTATTGGAGATAAAGACCTGAGAGGGGTCACTAGCTCCGAAATGCCAGGGCAGCAGCTCTCTTACAGGGTAAGGGGTCCACATAGGGTAGCTGGGGTAGCAGAGAATTAGGAAGCCGCAAACTGAACTATGCTGGGATCAGGTCATCTGTCTTAGTCCATGGTCACTGGTCCCTTTCGTGTTTGCACAGAGTTCATTTTTCTTCTGGAGCTGAGGGTTTCCTGCTCAGGAATGGTCTTTTCTATAAGTAGGACTTAGGCCAGGCTAGTTAATTAGGGATATTGGTATTATCCCAAGACTAAGAGAATGTGGGGAAGGGTTGGAACTCATGGGAAGATGTCCTTTAGACTTTTCATTTCAGAATAGTCTATGTGTATGTAGTTACATGTATACACACATAGCTATGAACAAATAATTAAACACAGATTCAAACACATGTACCTGTGTGTACAACCCTGGTATGGGTTTCTATTGCAAAATTACCTCCTACTTATTGAATTGTATGGAGAAGACTTTTTTGTGGGTGTCAATACAGTATTTCCATCAGAATATGTGAATGCGTTCAGGTTCTTAGGGGGTCGGATTGCCAAGGGAAGCTGGCAGAGGTGGGATGTTTGGGGTTGGCCAGATTGGGTTTCAGCTCCTGGCATCCTTACCTGCGGGCCAGGCTTCCAAAAAAATGATGTAACCTCTCCAGGTTGTGGTTTTATCCTGTATAAAACATCAAAACTCTCAATTCACAGTAACTGTAACAATTAAATGCACTGAGGCAGGTAAATCTCTTGCTGTTTTAGTATAAGTGCCCCCACATAGTAGAGATCAGTAAATTGTACATCGTACATTTAACAGATAATAGAAAGGTGACGATAGGTTAATACTTTTACTTATCCTCCCTGTATATATTTGTATTAGAACAAGTCTAGAAAGATGCTGTGTTTTCACAGATAACTTTTATTTTCTTTTAAAAAATCTGTTATTCTTGTTTTGTTGACTTCTTTTGAAAATTTTGTTTACAATGACTGATCCTCTATATATTCTTTAATAATAAATGCTATAAAAGGGAAATTATATTTCATTGTTAGGTATTTAAAATTCAAAGTATAAAGATATTTGAGACCCTTTATTCCGCCACTTTTTAGTTCCCTCACTCTTTGCTTCTAAAATATGAAATTTAAATTTAAGTACTTTATTAATTATAACCGTGGTTCTCTTCAGACAGTTGAAAATTTAACATAATGTTTCTGGTCTTTGGTGTTCAACAAGTAGAGTATTACATTGATCGTTTAGTATTGTCCTATAATATTTACTTAAAGTTCCAAAATTACAACAACATTTCTTTTGAGATGGTTTAGTTGCTTTATTATGTTTGTGTATCTCCATGGCATTGCCACCGGTCACTGATAACACAGGTCCTTTATGTTTTCAGGAAAATGGTGTATATACAATAGCAAAATTAATTTTACCAAATAAACAAAAGAATGCAGCAAAAACCCATCTACTCCAGGTAATAAAACATGTCTCTTTTTCTTTAGTATCAAGTTATCAAAGTTTTGATCCTTAGGTATACTTAGGGAAAATAATCTATGTTGTTTAGCATTTTTAAGGTTAATGCCGGTCTCCATATGGTGGTGAGGGACAGACATCTGGTGGCAGAGGCTGGTGTGGAAACCAGTGATATTAAAACAATGTTAGGGCTGTAACAGTGGTTTCTCTGTGTGGTAGAATTAAGTGTATTTATTTAGGTGTTTCTTTCCTCACCAGCAAGTTCCAGCTTTATTTTTTAATCTTATTTAATTTATTTTTTGTGGTGCTAGGGATTGAACCTAGGGCCTGTCACATGCGAAGCAAGTGCTCTACCACTGAGCTACATCGTGGCCTTTTAAAACATTTTTATTATGAGCCAGAATCTCACTAAGTTGCCCAAATGACCTCCCATTTGTGATCCTCCTGCCTCAGCCTCTCGAGTAGCTGGGATTATAGGCATGTGCCACCATGCCTGGCTCCAATGTTCTATTTTAAAAAAATATGAATTACTTATAAATCAGAATATAGCAACCGAGAAATTATTGGTCATCTTGAAACATTTGGGCTGTAAAAAGGAAAGCTAGTGAAATGGATCTTGAAGGATAAGAATGGATTTGCCAAGTAGATAAGGAACTACCAGGTGGGGCACCAAGAGCATCTGCTGCAGGGTGGAAGGTCTGCGCACAGAGAGGGAATAGCAGGAACAAAGCATGGCAGCTGAGGACCTAGATGTGGGTAGGTGGGCTCCCAAGTGGCCGGGGACAGAGTGCCCCAGGAGATGTGGCCTCAAAGAAGGGCCAGTTTATGCAAGGTTCTGTGCTTTTCTGAAAAGTGGTATCTGGGGCCAGTGTCCGCAAAGGCACTGTAATGACAAAGTCATATTCAAAGTAAGCCTTTGCAGTAGTTGGAGGTCATCTTTTCAACTAATTTAGAAAAGAAAGTACATCAACCTTAATGACAAATGCTTGAGGAGATGGCTCTGTATAATCCGGTTTAAACATCACCATAGTGTGTACCTATGTGGAAACATCACATGGTGCCCCATACATATGTATCATTTTTATGTTTGTGTATCAGTTAAAAAGTAAAAAAATATCTTTCAAAAGAGCTCTTATCCACCTCATCCACAATGGTGGCCACACATGGCAGAGACTTGGTGTCTGTGTACTAGCAGGCAGGAGTTACTAAAGTGCTGCCAAGCACAAAGAGTGTGGGGCTTGATTTCTTTAGTGCATCACAGATGTGTCAGAGGATCTTGGAAAAGATATCAAGTCAAATCCATCCTGCAAATGCATTTTGTGAAGCAGAGAGGGTTTCTGAAAATTGCCGCGGGAGGCGGGGTGTGGAGGCACATCCTTGAAATCCCAGCTACTCAGGATGGGAAGATTGCAAATTAGAGGCCAGGCTGGGCAATTTAGAGAGATGCTGTCTCACAACAAAAAGGTTGAGGTTGTAGCTCTGAACTCCCTGGGTTCCATCCCTAATAGCAGACAGACAGACAGACAGACACACACACACACACACACACACACCTCATTGGTAGAAGTTTTAAGGAGTGCACAGGTCCATGTTCTCACCATCTACACTTCTCCCTCCTTCGTGTCATTACTCTGCTGGGCGGAGTTGTGTGTGCCCGCAAACACAGATCACATCTGTGAAGTGGCCCAGGTGTGGTGTGGCCAGTCCCACTCCCTCCAGAGGAGCAACTGCAAGCTGGGGGCTCTTTTTTTCCTCAGCCTTGCAAAATATCAGATGTTTATTTTTCTTAGTTAAAGCCTCACAGGTCTCTTTCTGAGTGTTCTAGGGAGTTACTGTCGATTGGTCTATTTGGGGAATGCTTAAAACTCTTTACTCAAGAGACCAATTTGCCAGGCTTGAGTCCGCTGTGCCTGCGGCTATTTTTATATGTCATCGTTTCTAGTGTTTATTTTCTCACAGAAACCATATAAATATTGAGGCAATGGATAGCAGGCTAGAAATAAAATAAATCTTGAACTCCAGAAATCTTTGGATGTTTGGTTTTCTCAGCATAGGAATTTTACTTCTTGTCTCTGTGCTCATTTTGTACTTTTTAGAAAGGAATTAATGGCAAGTACTGAGGCAAAACAAGGCCAAGATCCCCAGCACTCTACAACATCAACACTTTAAATATGAGAACTACCCCAGTTGTGGGCGATTTTATTTTCAGTTATAAGCTTGGGCTCCAAATTAGGCCAGCCATTCACAATAAAGACATTTTAATGTCTACTTCATGACAGTTCTGTCCTGAGAATGTTTAAATTTGTTGAAGAATCACATTTCCTTTTATTTCCTAGTGTTACGCTTTCAGAGCCCTGAGGTTTCTCTTCAGTATGGAAAGAAATAGACCACTCTTTAAAAGGTATGAGCTTGGAGAAATGTAAATGACTATCCAGTTTAAGACACCAATGGACAGCAGTTTTCACACACCTGAATTCGATGCAGTGGGAGGAGAATGGTCAGTGCACAAGCTGTGTGTCTGGAGGTTTCTTAGGCTGCGCAGATATAACTGAGCTCCTGTAGCAATACTGAAAATCGACAAAAATGGTAATGAAGGAGCATAAATCACTGTATCAGTACAAACCCTCCTAATTGCCTGTGACTATCATGGTTTTAGTACATTTTAGTTAAAGACATTAACATTTTAAATAGATGGCATCAAAACTTATTGTACTTGTTTTTGTCCACTTAGAAATTCCAAAGTCAGTCTGGTAGCATCCCGTATCAACAGAAAAACAAAAGTATTTGTCAGAATACCCCTGAGAGGGTAAGAGCTCATTGGAAGGGGTGGAAGCCTGTCCAGGGTCAGAACGTTGTGCTGGTGAATGTGACCAACATACCACCATCCTGAGAAGCACACACTATTGCACACGTGTGTGTTCTGCACACCTTTAGCTGGGTGGGCGAGCCAGAAGGGCCACACTCTCACAAGAATTTAATTGGTAAGCAAAGTCTTGAGTTAGTGTCGAATTGTTTGCTCAGAAAGCACAGCACATTTTATGTTGTTACTTCACTTTCCTATATTATTGAGTATAGGGAAAAAGGAAGAACGACCAACAGTTTCCAAGTTCTAAGTTAAGCGAATGTGTATATTTTTCCCTGTAGACTTTTCCCCACAGACTTGTTTGAGATCTTCATTGACATAGGACATTATGTTCGTGATATCAGTGTGTATGAAGAATTGGTATCAAAGTTGAACTTATTGGTGGTAAGTCCCGCATTTTAAATATCTTGGCAGGCTGCTATGTGGCCATGATAGAGTTAGTCACAGCAACTCATTTTATTTTTATTTTTTGCTTAGGAGGACGAACTGAAACAAATTGCTGAAAATATTGAAAGCATTAACCAGAACAAAGCTCCTTCGAAATATATAGGCAACTATGCAATTTTGGACCATCTGGGGAGTGGAGCTTTTGGCTGTGTTTACAAGGTGATTTTACTCTTGGGGCCCAACATTTCTGATATTCTCAACCAAAACAGATGCTACACTTTCATACTTATATTCAGGTTAATTGGAGTCATTGTCATTGAAGAAAGACATATTTAAAATAAGAGTGTTTTTGTTCAGCAGACAGAGATAGCTACACTAATGTATCACTATCAGCTACACTATCAGTTCTAGTAATCGCCAAGTGACATTTTTAGAGAAAAGACATCATTTGTCACAAAAAATCATCAAAGTAGCTTGTCTAATATGTGACACATTCTCTAAACTTACACCAGTGTTTCTGTATTTACACAGTAAAACCCTTCTTATGGCAGACTGGACCGAAGATGTTAAACTTTTGAGCTGAGGTTAAAGTAAATTCAGCTAGAGTTTTGTATGCTCTGTGACTTACTTAGATGACTTGGTTAAACATGTGACTTTGTTAATCTATTCCTTTCTTACCCTTTCAACTTTTATCCCACTGGGTTTTTTGTTTTGTTTTTTTTTGTTTCCTCATTTTAGGTTAGAAAACGTAGTGGTCAAAATCTTTTAGCAATGAAAGAAGTCAATTTGCATAACCCAGCATTTGGAAAGGACAAAAAAGATCGAGACAGCAGTGTGAAGAATATCGTCTCTGAATTAACAATAATTAAAGAGCAGGTAAGTGCTTCTCATGTTTCTGAAGATGTTTTCTTGAATTTATGGCAGTGAAGCAGAGTTCTTGTGCTAGTCTAACTGCGCTGCCTATGGACTGGTTCTGTGAGGAATAATAGACCGAGGCAATGGTATTTTCACCAGACTTTTTCCTGAGGTTTGAGGGTGAGCCATAGAAATATTTTCTGGAGTTTATATTAAGGCCATGGAAGCAAAACAAGTGGACTTCTGGTGCACAGCATGTCACACATAGCAATCCTTCTCTGAACACAGCTGTCTCCTGTTCACAATAGTGTTTGGTTACCTAGTGACACGTGTAGGAACATGACTAAGAGTTTCCTGACTCTTTTCAAGTGGAACCAAGCTGTTACTACTTTTCCATTGTGGCTTATTAAATCTAAAAATGCCGAGTTTCAAGATAGGTTAATATTTATTGGCGTGAAAGGATATTCTGACATAAAATAATAATAGCTCAATTAACTATCATTATGAAGGTTTGTTTGGGAAGAAAGAATGGACGTGTCAGAAGTGGAATGAGATTTCTTTTTGAGATTCAAGAACACATTGGCTTCTTTTCCAGCCTTCCTTACTTGTGCATTTATTATAAACACTGTTCATTTGTGACTCCCATGGAGAGTTCTTTGTTCTCTGCTAGTTACATGTACATAGCATCTGTGCTGGAACAGAAAGAATACTGTAAATATGGAGTTTAGTCATTGAGATCTATAGTTCTACTTCAATTTATAAATCACAGTGATTGTATCATTAATAGGATTAATAATACTTTACAGTGAAGTTTTATATATTAATACAGTAGGTTAGAATTTTTTCAGTCCCAGGGATTTAACCCACGGCCTTTGCACTGAGCTGCATCCCTAGTCCTTTTTTGTTTTTCAGTTTGAGGTAAGGTCTCACTAAGTCACCAAGGCTGGGCTTGAACTTGAGATGCTGTTGTCTCAGCCTCTCAGAGTGCTGGAGTTACACACTTGCACCACTACCTCTGACTAGATTAAATTTGTTTTAAAAGCCACTGTTTGCTCATATTTAAGATAACCTAGTCTTTCTCAAGAAGCTGTTTCCTTATAGCACAAGGCAGTACATGGTTTTTGACTTATACTGATCCAGTGTTTCCATTTGGACCCAAATCTAGATACAACTCTTGCCAGTGAGCTAGACCCAGAATATGCTTCTGGTTGTTAATTTGGTCCTGTTTTGTTTAAAAGTTGCTGGTGATGAGGTAGATAATTTGTTTTTCTGCATTTCCTCAGAAAAATAATGTCTGGGAGGGACTAGTTAAGAAGCATCATTTTAGATGCTGCTGTCACTCAAAACTATAGAGTTAGCCTCACTAAAGTATCAGCCAGTGCAAAGGATGAAAGTACTGACAGAAGAAGCAGCAGAAATGAAAGAGAGTGTATTTATTAAGATTAAGCCTAAGACAAGCAGGAGAACACAGAGGCTTGAAGAAGAGGCCTCACAGTAGTTAGTTATTTCTCTTTCATGTGACAGTCCCGAAGTGGGTGCCAAAAGGGCTGGTGTCCTTTGTTCCATACAGTCATCCAGGGACTCTGTCACTGCCTGGACATTGTCTTCACTGTGTCAGTGAAGCTCTACGGGCACGTCCACCTGCGTGGTGAGAAGAGGGGCAGCATGAGCGCTACTGCCAGTGTAGGGGCTCAGGCCCAGGAGTCCACGGGGTTTCCTTCAGACTCACCGAGTGCTGGGCCCGCTCCCGGCTGCAGGGAAGGCTGAGACATGGGACTTCTGCCTGGGAAGCCACATCCAGTTACAACTCCATAGTAATGAAGAGGGAGATGGCTCCATTCCACCCCTCCAGGGAGCACGCCAGAAAGGCTGAGAAGAGATACAGGCTGTTTATAAAAGAAATGGCCCTTTTACTGAGATGAGACAAATTTCAATTTACCTAGAAACTCAAACTATAAACAACTGCAAACATTTTAGTATTCTTATAGAAAATAATCTTCTTTAATTTAAAAATAAGTAGAACTTCCATTCACATCCTTAAGTAAAGTCATATAAAGGAGAAATTGTAACATGTACTTTAAAAAAGTGTCAAGGAAGACTGCATTTACAGCTACTACAATGGGTGGTCAAAAGATTGCAATAGAGACAGATTGAATCTAACCATAAACTCTGCAAGAACCATGGGAGTTTATAGGTAATTGGCAGGGGGAGAGGGCCAGTAGATGGGGAATTACTAAGAGGGACTTATATTTCAAGAATGAGATAGTATGTGATTGGATATCAAGTGTGGGAGATTCTTGATAAACTGGCCTAACAGGGTTCTTGCTAAAATTGTGCAGGCCAAGCATGAGGGCTACTCAGCAAGAGGAGTCACAGGAGTCAATTAAGTATGGCAAGGGGGAGATCTTGTCAACTAGTACTATGATTTAATCTTAGCTCTTAGATATTTGTTTCATATTAATCACTGTGTAGAACATAGTGTAGACACAAACTATACACATAATACTTATCTATATATATTTAGAAAGAGTTAAAAAGGAATGGATATCTATATAGATGTATATTAACACAAATTACTTCATTTTGTTGTGTTTTTTCTTTATGCAGTGTATATGGTATTGGAAAGCGGTATGTGAATTCTTAAAGTTCTACTTCGTTCTATAATTCTATTCTAGTTAATTAATAGAGCAGTTTTTAATTTTATTTCAAAAAACTATATAGGCTATGCAACAGATTTTTAAAAAAAACTCATAAAAGTCTCAGATGATGTCTTGAAATGCTTAGCTTTTTAGACATAATAATTTATGAAATAAAAGTCTATGAAATAAGTTTGTGTTTTGAAGTAGATAATAAATGTTTGTGTTTTATTTTCTTGTAGCTTTATCATCCTAATATTGTACGTTATTACAAAACATTTCTTGAAAGTAAGTATGACTTTTTGTGGTGGGATTTCTAATTAAGGAAAAATACCTTTGTAACTTAAATATTTTCATATTGGAATATCACAAACCAAGCTCAACTATTTTCCTTAATTTTTTTTATTAACACGACAGTGGATGATTTCAAGCATTTTTTTCTTGACTGATCAAATGATGATACAATTGGCCTGAAGATAGCTATAAATAATTTAGATGCTGGTAGAGAAGCCACTTCATTGACAAACCAAAATAATTATTATTGCTATTTTTATATAACAAAAAGCACTTAATAGGATCAGGAGATAAAATTGAAAGGTGATGGTTTCTTTATGAAAAATTAATAGCAGTTTGTGTTGGATCAGACATTTTCCTACCACCAAAATAAATTGGGAGTGAATTTGGTTTGAGATTTTTTTGCATGAAGTTCATATTAATACCACCAGGTGGCGACAGAGCCTTGGTTTAGTCTGCAGACAGGCACGCTCTGAAAGTATGGTGGAATATGGAGTCAAAACGTTGAGACAAAGCCACACCACTTAAAAAAATAGGACTATGGATGGAAATAATGTATTAATGAAACTTAATGATCTGTGACGTATATGAAGTTTCAAAATAAATCTCCATTTGAAAAAATATTTGAAGAAATAAAAGGCAACAATTATTAAGACTTGCTAAATTATCTCTTTATCAGCACTACTGTTATTTAAGAAAACCTCTTTGTGCTCTGGCATTTGTTACAGATTTACCCATTTTTTTCCCCTGTGTGACTCAGAACTCAGAGCTGAAACTCCTGCAGTAAATCCTGTCCCTTTAGTCATAGTCCTTGATACTAGAATAATTCCCCAGATTTTGTGCATATCCCCTCAAACAAGAGATCAAGGTTGGCTTCTGGCTTGTACTGACGTAACACAACTTATCTTCTTCTGATAACAAAACCATTTAACAACCTGGAAACCTCCAAAATAAATTGGAGGATGGAGGTGTTGGTGGTATAGTGGTTAGCATAGCTGCCTTCCAAAATAAATCGGAGGTAACTTAAAATAAGAAAAATATGATACAATAGATTAGAAAATTGCAATAAAGGGGAATATAAGGTCAGAAATTTTAAAAGTAATGCTAGAGATAAGATTAGAAATACAATAAATGTTTCTAGGAGTATGAAAAATTTGAAACAATATAATATCTATGTATAGAAGAATGGTGAAATAAATTATGATTTAGCCTTATTGTACAATAATGTGGCAACCAACATTATAGATAGTTTGCATTTGTTTATACTGAAATTTAAGACTGTGTAATGGAAACAAGTGTATATCGCAGAACATACAGAGTAGAATTCCACTTCTGTTAATATTGTGTACATATATATTTTATATACATCCAAAAGCCTTAAAAGGCACTTAATACATCTAATTGTCAATAGTTTCATATTGATTCTAGTGGAGGAAGTGGAATTCACTTGTTTCTTGACATCCAAAGCAAAGAGACAAGCACAAGCAGTGAGACTCTCAGTATCTGTAAGATGAAACCAAGAGAAGACCAGCTGTCTTTGCTCTTGAGGGAACAGCAAAAATCACAGGTGATATTTTCAGCTGTGTCATTGCAAGACCGTGGCAAGATTTTGTAGAAGTTTCTGTGAAGTGAGTCTCTATGAGACTGCAAAAAGTATCAATTGAAATGCAAGTTTTCTGAATGTCTGATTTGATCTAAGGGTAAATTTCAGACTATGAATAGGAAAGGTGTGTTTACATGCTCTTCCATCCCCCCGTGACTTGGAACTGTTTGCTCATGCTCTTTGGCACCTTCCAACTCTCCCACATCCTGGTGCACATAGAAAATGAAAATATTGCCAGTGTAAACTTGTACGAGGGCTTTGCCTGTAGCAAGGACAGATTGTTACTGGCCTTCAGTTGCCCTAAAATCCCTGTACCTCCACCCCCTCCAGTGCTGCAGGGGTCCCCATCTTCCTTGATCTCGAATTCTTTTTCATTGGTGTGCATTGGCAATACATAATAATCACATTCATTTTAGGAAAGTGGTATGTATACATATTGTATCTTGATCATTTTTTATATCCTTTCTTTAGTGTTGTGCTCTGTACAACCTTTCAGAAGCTCAGATTCTAATGTATGTTTTTTCAAGATTCTATGTTTAATTAAAATTTCTATGGTGCATTTTATATTTCTCTATAGATGATAGGTTGTATATAGTTATGGAACTGATAGAAGGAGCACCACTTGGAGAGCATTTCAGTTCTTTGAAGGAAAAACAGCACCATTTTACTGAAGAAAGACTGTGGAAAATATTTATACAGGTATGTGTTTTTCTTTATTAAATTTTTCATAATGCAGTAAAGTTCTGACCTGATTTCTTAGAGGCACATAGTAGTCATCATTTGTTGTATGCTTACTAGGGGAAATAAAATTTGTTTCTTATTCTTATTTCAAGTTGTGCTTAGCTCTTCGATACTTACACAAGGAAAAGAGGATTGTCCACAGAGATCTGACACCAAACAACATTATGTTGGGGGACAAGGACAAAGTCACCATTAGTAAGTATAACAAACAATCTGAAGTTTTTGATGAAGGAATTTCTGAGTATAAGTTTAGAGCAGGGCCGGGGATTTAGCTCAGTGGATCCCGTGCCTGCCTCAAAAGCAAAAAGTCCTGAGTTTGATCCCCGGTACCACACACACAAAAAAAGTCTAGAGTAGATTATTTTTCCAAAGTAGTGATAGCCAATAGAGTTTTGGGCATGGAAGGAACTTTTTTATTTTGCTGTCCAGTATAGAGCCATTAGTCACATGTGACTGTTGAGCACTTAGAAGGTGGCTATTGTGACTGATGAAACAAATTTTAAAGCTTATTAATTTTAATTACTCATCCTGGTGTGAGTTGTGGCTGCCATTTTGGTTAGTGACAATTATAGTTTTAAATGATTGAGTTGTATTTTGCTCATAGGAGGGAATTATGTACTCATAGGGAATAGATCAGTGGTTTCTAGGTCTTTTTCTTGCTTTAGCGCAGTACTTCTTCAACAAAAGCTTTTTGTGATCACCATGTGAACACACTGGTTTGAGCCTTATTAACATCATCTTTGTCCTATGAACATATCGAGAGCCATAAAATAGTCTGTCATTTGTATATTTCAACATATATTTTTATCGTATTTTCTTTTGTAGCAAATACTCCTGATGTTGGATACAGTTTTATAAATTAGTCGATTTCCCTTTACCTTCATATTTGTCATAACTTAAAGTTAATTGTTTAGCTTTCACAACTCAAAGTTAATTTTTTAGCTTCAAATGATATGTTAGCTTCCTCACGTTACTCTCGTGGAGTATGAATTGTTCGTGAGGTACAGGTAAGGACACATCTAAATCTTTCGTCTCCAAATAGTTTTAATAGTGAGAGCCACTCAGTAAAAGTTTTTTTTTTTGAGACTATGCTGCCAATGTATGTTGGCTTATTTATAAATTCAATACATATATTGTTGTACAAAGATTCTATAGTATATAACAAAGTCTACAGAAATAAAATACAAAAAGATGAATTTAAAAATAAAAATAAAGGTTTTAATCCCAGCCCTTGCAGTGGATTGTCTTAGGCACCCAGTTTGGAAACCACTGTCCCTCAGTGTTTATTGATGTGAGAGATACATGACAACATCTAAAGCTGGTTCCTCTACCTTTAGAATAATCTAATTTTCATGAAGATAATTTCCAATGTGTATATTTAATGGGACCACATGTCTTCATGAACAACAACAAAAAAATTTAAATTCTTTTTGCTTCTCATAGATTTTATTTTTCCATTGTGACCGTTTTCTTATTTCCTATTGCTTCCTATCTGCCATCCTGCAAACGGGGTACAGACACTGTTCTGGAATGTTCTTGTGCTCCTTTTCTGATTGGTGTCTGTGTCTTACCTCCTACCCCATTTTACTGAAGTGTATCTCCCAGTGCTTTCCTGAGAATGATGCTTTGAGAGTCACATTTTTTGGATGCTTCACACCACAGAATATCTTTACGATGCCCTCATCTTTGACCCTTGTTCTCAGATGAGTCCTTCTAAGTTTGAAGGCATTCCTTCAGTCTCCTGGCATCCAGTTTTGCTGTTAGGAAACCCAGTGCTATTCTAGTTCTATTCATGCTGGATGTGGGCACTGTTTTATCTCTCCAGAAACCTTTAGAATGTTCTCTTTATCCACTGTTTCAGATGGATCCTTTTATGTAATGTATCTGAAACTAGGAGTCCTCTTCAGTTCCGAGATTTAAGACTTCAATCCTGGGAATTTTCCTTTTCCCCTGGCTGCTTTCTCTGTTTCACTTTCCAGAATTCCTATTAGTCCTAGATATAATATATACTAAATAATGTCCTAATTTAAAAAGTAATTATCTTGAGCCTGGGATTTAGCTCAGTGGCACCACATCTGCCTCACAAGTGCAAAGTCCTGAGTTCGGTCCCCAGTACCAGAAAAAAAAAAGTAATTGCCTTAACTTGTATTTCTTTGTTGTAGTTAGTGTTATTTCTTCAATTTTATTTTGTGGTCATTGAATATTTAAATTTTTCAATCAACTTTTTACTCTTTGAACATCCTATCTTGTTCTCTGCTCCATTTCTGTGGAATCCTGCTTTTATTCTGTCTCAGCATAATATAGACCTGTTTGTTTTTCCCTACAGAACCTGAATTACTTCTTTATTTTCTGGGTCCAACTCTTTTTACCTCCTCTGTTTTCTTTGATGTCTTTTTCCCATTGAAAGCTTTCCTTATCTGTCTATGAATACAAGAAAAGAATGATAAACATGGTTGGAAGCCCTGTGAGTTCCAGTGAAGGCCATCCTCGGGTTGATTTCATTACAGCATAATGGAGACTTTTCCCTTGAAGATCCCTAAGGTGGAGTCTAACCACCTTTCCAGAGAAGGCTCTTCTAGTATCTTCCCTGCTGCAGAGGGATGTGCAGCCCTCTGCTGCCATTCTAGGACCACTGTCTACCACAGAGGCTCAGGGAGCTACATCCCATTCAGATTTCCACTGAATTCCCCTGAATTCAGGCCTGTGCTGCTTGGTACCTTGCTAGTTATTAGAAAATAAATGTTTTCTGTAGGTGCAGAAGGTACTCGTTTCCTGGCCGTGTGGGTGTGGAAAGGACCGTGGACTACATCTCAGTTCTATGCTCTGAGTCTTTTGCCTTCCTCCTTCCCTTGTGCGGCACCCTGGGCTGTGCCGGGTGCCTGGGCTCCCTTAGGCTTCCCTATTCTCAGACACGGGGGTGGGGACTCACTCTGCAGACTAAGTCCTGGGAATGTGTTACCCCCTCTTGTTATCAAGCCTATTCCCATCCTTTCTCTGGATAAAGGACCTTCAGAGAAAATCTCTATTTTAGCAAGTTTTTGAGAATTAAAGAAGATGAACACATATGATTAACCTACCTTTTAACCCCAAATGGGCAGGCCAGCTACATTATTAACTCTACATATTAGGCTTAACAAAGCATCCTATTTTTTTTATTGACCATTCAACTTAAAAAAAATACGTATTTCTGCTTGCATTCAAGCAGAAATATATGGGCTCCCTAGAAAAAGATACTTTGTTTTACAAGAATAAGAAAACTTTTATTTTGCTTTCCTCTTTCTTGCCCCTTATTGCCATTCTGGTCATTCTTTGGAAAATATTTATCAGGCTTCTACTTAGGAGTTATTAAATTAAAAAAGAACTGTTTTCAATTTTCAGGGCTTTTAAGTATTCAGTGAAGCAATATTTTCCTATTTCAAATAAAGAAGGAGGGGGCCAGGGATTTAACTCAGTGGTTCCGTTGCCTGCCTCAAAAGCACAAGGTCCCAAGTTCAATCCCTGGTACCAATAAATAAATAAATAAAAATAAATAAAAATAAAGAAGGAGGGGCAGTGATAAATCTCAGGACAGAGTTTTATTCTAGAACTTTTCTCTAGTAAGGCAATTGCTTCATCTGGACATTGATGTGCCACCATTATTTTCAATGAGTATAAAACAATTTTTTGACTAAAAGGATAATTCACAGAAATTTGATATCTCTCTTTACTTAAAGCTACTCTAAATATAATAGTGCTGAAATACTTTTTCAGTGTCTGTAGCTACTGATAAAAATATGGCCATTAGACTCTTATTTTTAAGAGGCTTCATGGTTTAAGTGAAATCTTACAGCATTAATTTGAAGCTAAGTTTACAAAATCCCCACATTCTGGGAGGTCGAAGTGTAACTGCATTTCAGGGAGCCTGTAGACTCCAGCCAGCTACTGTGGGTGCATGGCACCTCAAAGGGGCAGCCTTGTCATGTTTTATTTTTCTCTGTTCTTGTACTGGAAGATTTATTGACTTCCCAGAAAAGAGGCATAGAATCACCAAATGATGTCTGAGGTGCAGGGGACAAATTGTATTGAAAATGTGACTAGAAACAAAAGCTTAGGAAAACTAACATTTCCTTCTTCTCTTCAATTTTCCCAGTGTTGGTGAACTGAATGTTTTAAGATTACAGCTGATTTGCAATTGTTGATAGTGAGTCTGTTGGCGGGAGTTTGTGTCATGAGAAAGCACAGCGGAAAGTGCTAACATATGTAGGACGCATGGTTTTATAAATGTGACCTATTTTTAATGTCTAATACATTTCCACTTGAAAGACTGAATCTTTTAATGATGTGTGCCATGACACACATTCAGGTCTTGCTCCTGCATTTATTTGTAGCCTTTGAGGCCACACAAAGGAATGGACCCTGGCTCAGGAACACCCTGGGAAGGTCACCCTTTCAAGCAACATCCACATTGTGCTGTCACATCACAATCCACCACTCCACACTTCCTGGCCTTTCCAAATACCCACATTTCATTTTAATTCCTTCATGTCCCTTTGTGTGCTTTGCTCCCCTCAAGAAAAAGAAAAATAAAGCCCCAAATTCATTCAGTTATAGATAATAGTTTCAGACATGGGCTTTAGTACATGATTCACGAGGTACATATTCATCCTGTGAGTGAATCAGTGGTGTGTGTTTTTATGTCTCAAATGATAGTTTGCTTCTTCCAAGGGTCATAGCAACAGGGATACACTTGATTCGTCATAGCAGTTATCAAAGGCTGGAATGCTCATTCATGTCATTATATGCCAGGGAATGCAGGAGTGGATATGAAGTGAAAGGCTAAGGTTTCTGCCCCCTGAGTAGAGTCTTAATGAGAAGACTTTCAGTTTCTTACTCAGCAGTTGCTTCATGAGCTACCACATCCTGCAGTAAGCAAGGCGAGTGCACCAGGCACGGCCCCACCTTACAAGATGTAAGGGCTGAATGTGCATACAAAATGCTATTAGTCAGGATAGCCCATGTTACACTGTGGTAACAAGTGATCTGAAGGTCTCAGTAGCCTTTGGGATGAATCCAGGAATGGCCTGTTCTTATGTGTCTTGTGAGCTAAGAATGATTTTTATGCTTTACAAGGGAGAAGAAGACTATGTGACAAAACCCATATGTGGTCCCAATGGCCTAAAATGCTTACTATCTGGCCTTCTTCAGAAAACATTTGT